AGTTGGAGCGAACGGGAAAGAAACTCTGTAGACAGGCTTACTTTTCTTGTTTCATAGAGAATCTCTTGCGTATGGTTCATTGCATCCCTAAATACAAAATAAAAAATCACCGTAACTGAAACAATAGAAAAACTATCAACGGTTGTACACACGGAATTGCGTACAGCGCTAGCTAATCAGATATAGCCCAAACTTAGCACTTTGGAGTAGAATAAAACACTTTTGTGGCCCTAACAATGTGCTTGTGAGATTAAATAATACTTACAAAGACGAAAGTTTGCCACAGCTCAACACATGAAACAAAGATTGTTACAAAGACTAACCATACAAGAGCGCTTACTCTGCTCGACCAGGAAACTGATGTCTTACTTTGTTTCCCCTTATATTTTAGCACAACAAACAACTATAGCTTATTATCACACTGGGCTGAAGAAGGCGCTGCGGGGCCCAAACACGTTGGTCCCTTCTCTGTTAAAGGATTTTTATCAGAGTGCCTCGGATTTCACCCTGTCTTCATTTCCCATGGAAAAGGGAATCTTTGTTTTTAAATGTAACTTATTACATAGCATTTAAGAACGTGTTGCATTTTTAAACTTATAAATGATTGAATTATGTTTTTAAACTTGTAAACATGACACCTATATTACAAATAATCTTATTTGCTGGTGCCACAGCATTATTTTGTTGTGGAAAAAATGTTGGAGAGTTATCAAAAAGTAATAAACAAAGAACTTGTCATAATAAAAATCTGGTTGGTTCAAATGACTTTGCTCTAAACAAAGAAAAAACGATTACATGATATTCAAAGCTAAAAAGAAAAAAATCTTAAATAGTGTATCGATAAGACTAGACGGGGGGAATTCAAAAGGGTAAAAGAAACAACATTTTTGGGAGTCATCATCGTTGAGGAAAGGAAAATTAGCCAAATCACTTGGTGTTTTACACTTTTCCAAACCACTCAGCATTACTGACCTTAGATAATACAATGATTATACCGACCTCACCTATGTTGTCAACATTTGGAGACAACGTTTAAAACACATACACTGCCTATAGTTATTTTACATAAAAAAGACCAGAAGGAAAATATATCAAGATTCATTAAATCCTGTTTTTTGAGTGCTTGGTGTTAAAATTGTATGTTATAGTGTATTATACTATTTATCCTACATTGTATAAGGTAAATTGCAAAACATTAGCAGCAAACCTCTAAGAGAACTTTGGAAAAAGACAATGTCGATACACTCTGTAAGTAACTGACATCTTTAATAAAACCTAGATTCAGAACTACATTCATGGGAAGAATGGTCTCAGTGGAAAGGAATCAACTTGTGGAACTTAATAAAGACATTAAAGAGTCAAAATAAAAATCATGGTTTTTAAGAAACAAATCTACTATACTCAATAAATATGAGAGTGTTACATAATAAGAAAATCTGGATTTTAATTAATGGTTTGTGTTTTGGTAAAATGTTGTACATAATGTTTAAGGTATGTAATATGGGTGTTTAATCAGTCTTAAAGATGACTATTTATGGTAACAAGTGTCATTGTATATCTGAGAGATGTACGCCTTTAAATCATTTGATCTCGCGTAAAAGAAAACCTGTACCAAGGACCCTAGTTTCACATCTACCTACTCTGTTTCAAACTGTGTACACATATATGTATATAGGGTTCTTATTTTTATTGTATTGGACAATTAAATTGATATAGAGACTACTACCTTATGAATAGGGTTAGGATTATAACGCATTAATTACGATTGATAAACGCACACAAAAAATATGTGTTTTTGCTCCACGGAACCTTTGTCATCAGGTGAGTTTCAGACGGATCGTTCATACTGGTGTACCAGTTAGAACCCTGCGCCCATCTCCGTGAAAAATAACAACTATCCTCCTATTGTTTTAGTGCAACACTCTGGGCCACATGATAAGGCTATCACACACACACACACCTAAGTGTCGCTCTTTCAGAGTTCGGGTGCAGTACCACTTGTTGCAGAAAATAAAAATAAAACACCTATACAATACAATACAATTTATTCTTGTATAGCCCTAAATCACAACTGGAGTCATCTCAGAGGACTTACCAAAAAAACTATTGAAAATCACCAACACAGATCGGAGAATCAGCAGTTAAAACACATAAAGAATATAGACCACTACATGTTGTAGAATATTAAAGTATGCTGGATCATCACCACAGTCCTTCTAGTTTCTCACTAACTGTGCAACAAACCCATCCTGCATCAGCAATGCAAAACTCCTATGAAAAAAAGTGCGAAACCTCAGGGAGACCCTTAGTTTGAGAAAGGGATCTGCTTCATTCAAGTGTTACCTTTTGGAAAATAGGGCGCCATACCACCTTTTCACCACATGGTACTACATGTATCACCCTGATTGGACGTTGTAGGTCCATCCTCCCTCCAAACCCTTCATCATGATAAGGCTATCACACACACACACACACACACACCAAAGTGTCGTTGACAGGTCCTCCCTGTAGATTAATTAGTTTATTGACGTGTCTTTACTAACTAAGGCACCACTGTTTGTTTAAGAATAAGCTCGGTGTGAACCACACATGTGCTACGATAAACCCTGATCAATAAATCACTTTAGACTACTGTGAAACACCAGACAGAGGCTAACCTCTTTGAAAAAAATACAGTGCAGTAACACTTTTCACCACTTGCTCAATAGCGCCGTCCCCTTTCTGGGGAGTTTTAGGGTGCAGTACCACCTTTTCACCACTTGCTCAATAGCACCATCCAGTATATCTACTGGCAATGGTCACGATGGTTACTTCATCGTGATCTGGAGGTGAGCTGTTTTTTCACGGCGTTTCCTCGCCGCCTCGTCTCGTCTTCTGATTGGCTACACGCCGCAGTCATGGCAACGTGCTCGTCTGTCCCCGACACCACACGAGGAGAAATCGGGCCAAAACAATCCAACATGTTGGATATCCCCGATACTGAGATCGGAGAAGTCCTTCCGCGCGACGAAACTCAAGGAAACTCCATCAGATTTTTTGTTACAATATTCGGAGCGTTCTTACGATTGTCGTTAGGGGCAAATCGGGTCCAAAATCAGCCTAATTATCCTGCCGTGTGAACCAGGCTTAAACCCCAGTGAGGTTTAAGCACTTTAAGCACTTAGCAGCTACATGCATCACAGGAGGATTCTGTATTGTAATTGTAAAAACTTTATAACAATTACCTCTGAGAGCGCAATTACCATGAAATGTTTCACTTTAGCCTCTCCTGTCTCCTGTGTCATGCATCGTGATTGTCGTTCCTAAAAACAGACCTCATTTTGAAGTCAAATGATACTTCAATAGATTAGAAAACTTTAATCTTTGTGTAACTTTAGATTGGAGATGATCACTGCGATACGGCACAAAGTTTTTGCCGAGCCGCTCTTGGGAACACATCAATAAGTCTGTCTTGTGCGACATGAAAAAGTTCCTAAACAGCCATCGATCACGCTGCATCTGAGGGAAAGAAGCAAAGAGAAGCTTTTGTGCAGCTCCTATGGTGATTCATGTCCTCAGCATTTAGACCCATGGGGAGTTCTGCTGTCTCTGTTCAATGCCACCGCTATGTGCAAAGAATATATGCATTAAAGAGACAGTGTGTATAATATAGCTGTCATATGACTATCTATCTATGCCCCCAAATATAACAAACTATTATATATATATTCAACACAACTGTCCTTCAACTTAAGAATCAGAGTCTTTGAGAAATATTTTTTATGTATGGAGTATGACATATGACATTAATCGTAATTTCTGATATTTTCTGCGTATGTGCTTCACAGTAAGTAGGTCTTGGGTTCAATTTCACCTCCGGACGCCGGCTTTTCTGTGTGGAATTTGCATGTTCTTCCTGTGTCTGCTCAGGTCAGGGGTGTCCAAACATTCTAGTAAGAGGGCTACTGGCCAACATCACGGATTGAAAAACTGTCTTGACTGGCACGGGGCAATTATGAACTTTAAAATGATCTATAACAGAGCTGAAGTTGGCTGACAGACAAATGCTTACCATCTCAGAAAATATATTAGATAAGATAAGAATTCCTTTTTAGCACCATTAACGGAAGTTTATGACACAATCACTAACCATGTCAGTACAATTCAACAAGTCAACAACTGAAATCCAGACGTTCTGGGCTTTAGCACGAGGTACAACATGTCTATATTGGCTGAGCTGAAGTTGGATGGATGACACAGTGAACTTGTGTTTATGATCTCAATGAGAGATCTAGTTTGGGTTAGCAAGGCAGAGGACCACATAAAATGACACAGAGGGCCGCGATTGGCCCGTGGGTCTGGGTTTGGACATGATTGGCTTAGGTTTTTCCCCTTCCACTAAAAACATGCAAAATAGATTCAACACGCCTCCTGCATGGAGCCCCCGCTGACGTGCCCACAACGATTGCAAAGTGTTTTGGGTCAGTCTGTCCAAAGTGTTAGAATATAAAGATTACTTATTTATTTACTTGAAAATGATCAAAAACATCTGAAAGTCTACAAGTGTGACGTGTTCAAAATGTCCGCTAAGATTAACGATGAATTTTGACAGCATTTCTTTCGTTCGACTTGAACATTTCCAATATACTTTTCAGTACTATTTAATCCTTCAATCAAGTGCACAGTTTCACAGAGAGGAGTCCATGTTGTGAGTAGTTAAAACGCCAGAGCCGAGCCGTTAAACAAAGTAACAGCACATTAAAATCCATATCCTCAGCTCTTGACATCCATTCTGACGATTACTTATGTAAGACAATCCCCTGCCAGCCGGTGGCGAGGAACAACCTGGCACTTTTATCACAGCTCCAACAAAAGTAATTTACTCGGCTCAGTCCTTTTGCGCTTCACTGGGAAATAAATCATCCAAATAAAAATAAATAAATGGGGCGTCCCGCGTGCTTTTGACAGTTCAATGTCTTCCTGAAGCTCCGCACCTCAGCGTTATAAAAGGAGGAGATCCATCATCCGTCTACGGGACACTTTGGTGGTCCATCGCCGCTCGTGGGACAGCTGGGACCGGGAGGGCAGCTGTTCAAGCGGCGTGATCGGGGTTGGAATGAAGAGAGAGAAAGTCTTTGGCTGTTTCTTGGTGAATGCAGACAGATGGAAGGATATCGTAGTTTCTCAGCAGTTTCTACATCAAACTTGTATATCTCTTGTTTGGACAGTCAAAGACGCTGCACATGGGGAATAAAATACAATAATAAAAAAAGGGTTTACGGAAAAGCTTGTTTGAAAAGATGGGTTTTGAGACTGATTTAAAGTTTGGTAGGGAGTCAGAGTTTCTGATGGGCGGTGGGAGTGTGTTCCAGAGAGTTGGGGCAGCAATGGCAAAGGCTCTATCCCCCAAGGTCCGGTGGTTTGTGCGGGTGATGGGAGTGAGGAGGTTAGTGCGGGTGATGGTGGTGAGGAGGTTAGTGAGGGTGATGGGGGTGAGGAGGTTAGTGCGGGTGATGGGGGTGAGGAGGTTAGTGCGGGTGATGGGGGTGAGGTGGTTAGTGCGGGTGATGGGGGTGAGGTGGTTAGTGCGGGTGATGGGGGTGAGGTGGTTAGTGTGGGTGATGGGGGTGAGGAGGTGAGTGCGGGTGATGGGGGTGAGGAGGTTAGTGCGGGTGATGGGGGTGAGGAGGTTAGTGTGGGTGATGGGGGTGAGGAGGTTAGTGCGGGTGATGGTGGTGAGGAGGTTAGTGTGGGTGATGGGGGTGAGGAGGTGAGTGTGGGTGATGGGGGTGAGGTGGTTAGTGCGGGTGATGGGGGTGAGGTGGTTAGTGTGGGTGATGGGGGTGAGGAGGTTAGTGTGGGTGATGGGGGTGAGGAGGTTAGTGTGGGTGATGGGGGTGAGGAGGTTAGTGAGGGTGATGGGGGTGAAGAGGTTAGTGCGGGTGATGGGGGTGAGGAGGTTAGTGCGGGTGATGGGGGTGAGGAGGTTAGTGCGGGTGATGGTGGTGAGGAGGTTAGTGCGGGTGATGGGGGTGAGGAGGTGAGTGCGGGTGCTGGGGGTGAGGAGGTGAGTGCGGGTGATGGGGGTGAGGAGGTTAGTGCGGGTGATGGGGGTGAGGAGGTTAGTGCGGGTGCTGGGGGTGAGGAGGTGAGTGCGGGTGATGGGGGTGAGGAGGTTAGTGCGGGTGATGGGAGTGAGGAGGTTAGTGCGGGTGATGGTGGTGAGGAGGTTAGTGTGGGTGATGGGGGTGAGGTGGTTAGTGCGGGTGATGGTGGTGAGGAGGTTAGTGTGGGTGATGGGGGTGAGGTGGTTAGTGTGGGTGATGGGGGTGAGGAGGTTAGTGCGGGTGATGGGGGTGAGGAGGTTAGTGTGGGTGATGGGGGTGAGGAGGTTAGTGTGGGTGATGGGGGTGAGGAGGTTAGTGAGGGTGATGGGGGTGAGGAGGTTAGTGTGGGTGATGGGGGTGAGGAGGTTAGTGCGGGTGATGGGGGTGAGGAGGTTAGTGTGGGTGATGGGGGTGAGGAGGTTAGTGTGGGTGATGGGGGTGAGGTGGTTAGTGCGGGTGATGGGAGTGAGGAGGTTAGTGTGGGTGATGGGGGTGAGGAGGTTAGTGCGGGTGATGGGGGTGAGGAGGTTAGTGCGGGTGATGGGGGTGAGGTGGTTAGTGCGGGTGATGGGGGTGAGGTGGTTAGTGTGGGTGATGGGGGTGAGGAGGTTAGTGCGGGTGATGGGGGTGAGGTGGTTAGTGTGGGTAATGGGGGTGAGGAGGTTAGTGCGGGTGATGGGGGTGAGGAGGTTAGTGTGGGTGATGGGGGTGAGGAGGTTAGTGCGGGTGATGGGGGTGAGGAGGTTAGTGCGGGTGATGGTGGTGAGGAGGTTAGTGTGGGTGATGGGGGTGAGGTGGTTAGTGCGGGTGATGGGAGTGAGGAGGTTAGTGTGGGTGATGGGGGTGAGGTGGTTAGTGCGGGTGATGGTGGTGAGGAGGTTAGTGAGGGTGATGGGGGTGAGGAGGTTAGTGCGGGTGATGGGGGTGAGGAGGTTAGTGCGGGTGATGGTGGTGAGGAGGTTAGTGAGGGTGATGGGGGTGAGGAGGTTAGTGCGGGTGATGGGGGTGAGGAGGTTAGTGGGGTGATGGTGGTGAGGAGGTTAGTGTGGGTGATGGGGGTGAGGAGGTTAGTGTGGGTGATGGGGGTGAGGAGGTTAGTGTGGGTGATGGGGGTGAGGAGGTTAGTGTGGGTGATGGGGGTGAGGAGGTTAGTGTGGGTGATGGGGGTGAGGAGGTTAGTGTGGGTGATGGGGGTGAGGAGGTTAGTGCGGGTAATGGGGGTGAGGAGGTTAGTGTGGGTGATGGGGGTGAGGAGGTTAGTGTGGGTGATGGGGGTGAGGAGGTTAGTGCGGGTGATGGGGGTGAGGAGGTTAGTGTGGGTGATGGGGGTGAGGAGGTTAGTGAGGGTGATGGGGGTGAGGAGGTTAGTGCGGGTGATGGGGGTGAGGAGGTTAGTGTGGGTGATGGGAGTGAGGAGGTTAGTGTGGGTGATGGGGGTGAGGAGGTTAGTGTGGGTGATGGGGGTGAGGAGGTTAGTGTGGGTGATGGGAGTGAGGAGGTTAGTGTGGGTGATGGGGGTGAGGAGGTTAGTGCGGGTGATGGGAGTGAGGAGGTTAGTGTGGGTGATGGGAGTGAGGAGGTTAGTGTGGGTGATGGGGGTGAGGAGGTTAGTGTGGGTGATGGGGGTGAGGAGGTTAGTGTGGGTGATGGGGGTGAGGAGGTTAGTGCGGGTGATGGGAGTGAGGAGGTTAGTGTGGGTGATGGGAGTGAGGAGGTTAGTGTGGGTGATGGGGGTGAGGAGGTTAGTGTGGGTGATGGGAGTGAGGAGGTTAGTGTGGGTGATGGGAGTGAGGAGGTTAGTGTGGGTGATGGGGGTGAGGAGGTTAGTGTGGGTGGAATCGGCTGAGCGAAGGCGGCGGGTGGGTTGGTGCTGTTGTAGGAGCTCAGTAAGGGGGCGGGGCCAAGTTATGGAGGGACTTGTAGGTGAGGAGGAGGAGCTTGTACTGGATGCCGTATTGGGAGCCAGTGGAGCTGCTGGAGGACAGGGGTGATGTGTTCTCTGGACCGGGTGTGGGTGAGGAGGAGGCGGGCTGCAGAGTTCTGGATGTATTGCAGTTTTTGGAGATGAGTGGTGGGGAGTCCGTAGAGGAGGCTGTTGCAGTGGTCGAGTCTGGAGGTGATGAATGCGTGGATGAGGATTTGGGCTGTTGACTGGGTCAGGGAGGGGCGGAGGCGGGCAATGTGGCGGAGGTGGAAGAAAGAGGCTTTGGTTATGTGTTTGGTATGAGAAGGTGGAGTCCATTATGATGCCGAGGTTCCGCACAGAGGGTGAGGGGGTGACAATGTGACCGTCAATGAGGAGGGTAAAGTTCTGGACAGAGGGCAGGAGAGTTTTGGGGCTGATGATGAGGAGTTCTGTTTTGTTACTGTTGAGTTTGAAAAGGTTATTGTCCATCCAGGTTTTAATGTCGGGGATGAAATTAGTGATGGTGGAGAGGATGACCGGGGTGATGGATTTGGTGGAGATGTAGAGTTGAGTGTCGTCGGCATAACAGTGGAAATGGAGTCCATGATGGTGAATGATCTGGCCGAGGGGATCCATTTTTTACTTTTGCAAGACTTTTCACGTTGGGACAAAAAACATGTGGTAAATAAGAAATAAAAAGTTACGCCAGATGTCTCTATAAACAATGGATATACTGTATATGAATTCCTTTAAAAAATGTACTTGTTAAGTGAAGAAGAGGGTTCCAGCCATCCCTCAGCCAATCAGCTCTGAGTATATCTGATTAGTTCACAAACGAGAATCATTGTGTTGAGGCAGATTTATACAGTAATAATTATATCCAGTCCTGTTAAAGCCACAGTAGGAATATTCTGAGCCATGGTTAATATATTGCAATATATTGTGGAAGATAACAGCCCAATTCAAGTGGTAAAAAAAGTTAATTTCATCAAAGACATTGAAATATTGCATGACTTCACATGGTATTACTCTTTTACTCCATACACAGTGGTAATAAACTACTGATTTAGCCACAGCTGCCCTGGGGCACACTGACAGAAATAAGGCAACCAGTCTGTGCCATCGGCCTCTCCGGCTACAACCAACCATTCACACACACACACACACACACACACACACACACACACACACACACACACACACACACACACACACACACACACACACACACACACACACACACACACACACACACACACACACACACACACACACACACACACACACACACTATGGACACATTTCAACGTGGATGGCGTGACCATAGAACGATTGAACCGGGGAGAGCGGAGGAACGAGACTTTCTTTTGTCTGTTTCTCTGAGTAAGCAGTAACCGGTAACAAAGACACGGGAAGTTTCAGGTTAGCCTCCGCCGCTTGTTTACCTCCGCTGTCTGTGCTAACCTCAGACCTGTGGCTTTTCTCAAGAAAGTGGGGGCCAGTGGTCCGCTGTGATTGGTCACGATCTGGACCCGAAACACATTATCTTCCTTGTTTCTCGAAAACTCAATCTAAAATAAAACGACACGCCAGCACAAATCTGCGCTACTTATTCTTCAAAAGGACATTTATCCCAATGCACTGCATGGACATGGGTTGTGTTTAACTAATGAATATGAAAATAAAGTCAGTTAGCCCAGCTTTAACCAGGCCCTGCCCTGAACAGCTTGCAGAGAATTTGACATTTTTCCATGCGTCAAATTCTAATACTTATAATCATTGCTGCATAACTGAAATTATAACTGACAAAGCTTTCATGGTGCTTTTCTCACATAATATTCAAGTCGATTGTGTTTCTTATCTTTCCAATGGTGTAACACGCTTAAGCATTTATCCCCTTTAACAGAGGACTTGTAGACGAAAGGCCAAAATAGGAGATCCTTAAAGGGTTAAAATGTTATAATTCAAGTAACGAGACCAGAAGGATTCCTAGGGTAGATGTGATTTGTTTGGGTATTTGACGATTGACTCCTTCGTAATATTTTCGTGTTTTGAGATATTGACAATACAGCAGAATACAAACGAAGGACTGGAGTCAGAAAGCAGAACAGGAGATTTTTCCCCTCCCTCTGAGTGCATCTAAAAACTGGGAAGAGCATTTCTTTTCACATTACTGGAAGCCCTCAATCTACTCCAGCTTTGAAAAAGGCGTCTGTAGGCTCCCAGTGACTGCAGGGAAAAAAGGCAAGCGCTCAGAGTCGAAAATGAAAGGAATAATGAACAGATGTGCAGCCCACCTGTCGGCTCCACGCTGCTATTTCAGGTTTTAAAGCATTCAAAATGGTGCAGTGCTAAAAAATGTACTGTCTTCTGTATCTATTGCTACACCCATCGACTTCTGCATGTTAACCCAGACTAATACATGTTGTCTAGTCCCTGAGGCCAATGTAAGACCAACAAGCTTCAGATTCAGGTTTCAATGTATATATACACTGCAAAAAATAACAAAAAACAAGGAAATAATTACTTAAATCAAGTGTTTTTATTTTAATTTGAGCACATTTTTACAATCTAAAAACAAGATTTGTCATTGGGACAAGCAAACATTTCTTGTTTTCAAAAGATACAAAACAAATTCCAGAAATGTCTTCCTTGGGATTAGACATAAATTGCAACACCACTTGAATTAAACACCAAACGGCTCGTTCCATTGGCCAATCTTGTTTTAAGACAGTCAGAATAAACTCAAATTAAGACAAAACCCCCTTTATTCAAGAATCTATTACCTTATTTTTTGCCATTTTTTTGCAGTGTATGTATAATGGCGATCATCATAATTAAAATTTTTGTTGTTGATCAAAACCATATAAACAGCTATTTTTCAGATGCAGAGCCAATAACCAGCAGCTATAGGGGTTACTATCAAATGCCGTCAAAGTCAATCTGCTTTTGCCCCAGTGCATCAAATCAGTCTGTTTAAATTACAGGTGATGTACGTGTGAAACTTCTTTGTACGTGATATATTTTGTTTGTCCCAAAAGAAAGAGTCAAATGTTGTGAAGATATCGGTCTCCGTCTTGTATGTGCTTTTGTTAGCTTAGCCGTAGCACTCGAAACCACTCCCCCCTCCCCTCTTTCCCACCAAACCACTCCCCCCTCACCTCCCTCTCCACCAAACCACTCCCCCTCCCCTCCCTCTCCACCCTCTCCACCAAACCCTCACCCCTCCCCTCCCTCTCCACCAAACCACTCCCCCTCCCCTCCCTCTCCACCCTCTCCACCAAACTTCTCACCCCTCCCCTCCCTCTCCACCAAACCAGTCCCCCCTCCCCCTCCTCTCCACCAAACCACTCCCCCCCTCCCTCTCCACCAAACCACACCCTCCACCAAACCACTCCCCCCTCCCCTCCCTCTCCACCAAACCAGTCCCCCCTCCCCCTCCTCTCCACCAAACCACTCCCCCCTCCCCTCTCCTCTCCACCAAACCACTCCCCCCCTCCCTCTCCACCAAACCACACCCTCCACCAAACCACTCCCCCTCCCCTCCCTCTCCACCGAACCACTCCCCCCTCCCCTCCCTCTCCACCAAACCAGTCCCCCCTCCCCCTCCTCTCCACCAAACCACTCCCCCCTCCCCTCCTCTCCACCAAACCACTCCCCCCCTCCCCTCCCCTCCCTCTCCACCAAACCACACCCTCCACCAAACCACTCCCCTCCCCTCCCTCTCCACCGAACCACTCCCCCTCCCCTCCCTCTCCACCAAACCACTCCCCCCTCCCCTAAAAAGGTGATCCATGTGATAGAGGCCAAATACATGTACAAACTACAAATACAACTCTTTTGATATCTAGGAACTAATTAGATGGATGCTGTAGCTCTTAGTCTACAAATAACTTTGTGTAGGCTCAGTCTAATATAATATTGTCAAAATTATGTTGAAAAGAGGTAGACAAATAAGAGAATTGTATCGTTCTTCTCTGCTCTTTTCCCTTCGTGTAAATGTTTTAGTCATATATTGTATTTGTGACATGTTCCAGACATACTTCTGAAGGTTTTACACACTCGGCGCAATCTGCAGTCACCGTTCGGATCTCTCCAAACATGAAAGACAATAGGAAGAATATCAATATAATGGATGAAGTAGATGTTTTGTCCAGTCCTAATGTCCGTTATGTATGCATTATTTACAGTATTTACACTTTAATTGTATATACTGACATTTGTTTTTGATTATGTCAAAACATTTCACACATAAACATTATATTTTACGACATTTTAAAGCCCAGAAAAGTCTGAATCCAGTCAAAACAGTTTTATAATCCAGATGGACAGCCCTTGGACACGTCTGATAAAGTAAAGTGGCCTCTAACTAAAAGTCTGGACATCCATGTATTACGCTGCTTTACCACCTCTGTGTACTGCTAACTATGTTTGCAAGTTTAACATGTTTTTATACTAACCTCTTCTGACTTCTCAATAAAAACCAAGTGCTGCAAACGACAGACTTGACTTTTTTCCATCTCTGTGTTTCTTCAAACGTCTAAAAGTGGCAGAAAATGGATCAGATGAGTCATTGCTCGAGGAAATCAGTTCATTTAGTCAAACTGAGGTGCCGAGTTATTTATTGCCGTCAGCACGAGCTGTTAGTTCAATTTCATTTCGCCGGATGGAAAGAAAATAAAAACATGGAAATGTGAAGAGAACGACTTTATTTATGCAACAGGAAGCGTTCATGTCATCTGCATTTTTCAACAAACCTTTTTCTTTTTAAACTGTATCACAGGAAACATGTTTCTCTTTTTGATGTGACAGATTTCCTCAACACTCTCCACTTCTGTGCGTCACTGACATCGAGGCTCCTGCTCTGGCTCTAATAAATGTCACTTTAATGCAAAAACATGACTTGTTGCCAGATGACAAATATATTTTGAATATA